CCGCCACCTTCCTCTCCCTGTCCCCGTGTTTTTTTCTCCACGCGTGGGTGCAGTTTGTGATCTCAACAGCGGAGATTGGTACAGAACCAAGGTTAGTGTGGTTTATTTGGGGGGGCGGGGGGGAAAGGAGAATCTATGTTTTCCCCATCTCGGGTGTGGGAATGATGGGGGAATTGTTTTTTTAAAAAAAAAACGGAAAAATTGGAGTTTTTGGAAGGAAAAAGTGTGTCAGAAGTGGGATTTGAACCCACGCCTCCATTTGGAGACCAGAAATCCCTGGGCAGGGAAAGCCAAGCCTTGAGTCTGGCGCCTTAGACCACTCGGCCATCCTGACACTGTTGAAAACTTTCCTCATCCTCAAGAACTAATCCTTCTACAGCTTGATCTTTCTGTCCTCTTTCTAATTCCCCCCAGATTTGTGGCAAATTTAGTTTTTGCAGTGGTAAAACCCTCTTCTGGTTATTTTCTGCTCCTCTGCTTCCAGCACTCCATCCCTGGTCCACGCAGCCTCTGTTGCCCACTCAGGATAACACAAGGATTTGCTTTTTGGGAAGAGCCAGACCAGCCTGATTCACAGGGAAACGCTGCGGTCCTGGCTGCAACTCGGTCATCACCTCGAAAAAGAAAAATTAGGAGAAAGATGGAAAAAGAAGAGGCACGCTCACATGCTCACAGAGCTAGTAAAATCCCTGTTTTAATTTAATTTAACACTAACTCAGTTTCAATTCCTAGTTTTGTTCTGTAGTCAAATTGACCGCTTTTCTCCTGACTGTTTGTACTCTTGGAAGTCTCCCTCATCGCTTTGCAAAGCCCAGCCGCGACCATCAAAGGGGCTTTTCCGACGTTTTTCCAGTTGCTGCAGAAAGGTAAAGCCTGGCATTTCCAGGTTTAGCTCTGGATCTTTCTGAAAAAATTTCCCTCCTCACGCTGATCACGCACCTTCGTTAAGCCAGTGCAATAATTAACCTGGGAAGAATGGAAATCAAGTTGGTTTGAGCTCTTTCTCTGCAAGGAAACGCAGAAGGAAAGGTGGTTTGGGAGAAAGCTTTTTGGGGTTTTCACTGGGGTGAAGTCAAAAAAAAAGCGTGTGTTCTTTCAGTGGAATTCCATGCTTTTCAGGCAAAAGTCCCTATGCAAATTCTGGATGAGGATGAGCTGCCTCATCAGGGCTTTGTGGCAGCTGGTCAATCCTGGGCTGTGTTGTCGATCCCTCATTTGCATATGTCCATCTAGTTGAGAGCCATGGCTCTGGTGGGATACCTTTGCAGGGAAGACCACTGAGTCTGAAGGAGACCCCATGGCTGCAGCCACTAAGAGATGAGGAAAAACCTCGAGGAGGAGGAAGAGGAAGCAGAAAGTCCAGCGGATGAAGCCTCTGCTTAAGTGGAGAAGGTCTCCGGCTCAGGTAGGACGATGGAAACCAGCTCTGAACGGATTAAGGGGTTGGTTCAAGAAGGGATCCTGCAACTGGTACATCTCCAGGATGCTGAGCCAGCTGCCACCACCGACCAGGCGCACGTCAGTGAAGGCGAAGAGGCTGATGAACACCTCCGTGGGCATCCTTTGCAAGGGGTTGGTCACCAAGGCAGACCACTGGAGGAGGCAACGTCGGGGGTCCTTCATTGGTACCTTGGAGTTGCAGGCTGCTGTGGATAAGGTTATGAAAGTTGGAGGTGGAACGTGTTTTGCCTCCTCCATCCTCAGCAGATCTTCCTGCATGAACTGAACAACGAGGGCTGTCCTCTCACTGTGGATATCTTTTCTTGTCCCCGTATTTGCATGCCTGGGAGAAGAAGAGAAGGGGGGAGCGGGGAGGGGGAAGAATAAACTCAAAGTCTTTCTTACCTGCCTGGTTTCAGTATCATTACTGTAAAAACGACCACCCACCTGGCATCCCACCCGTAGCCCCGCACCCACGTGCCCATGTGGGAGGTAATTTGGAAGGCAGCTCCTGGATGGGAGCATCTCCAGCATCCTGCCCACATAAGACTACGTTAATCAGCCACCCCGCGATGGTGGTGGGAGACCTCCCAAGTCCATCTTGACCTCTTTGAAGACCTTCTCAATGCGGCTACAAGCTGAGACCTTGGCACCTTCAGGAAAAGACTACTCCCCATCAGGAGATGCTGTCCTCATCTCAGACCACACCAAATGTCTGGGGAAAATTTGCCATGGTTGGAAACCAGGCCATGGCCTCTGAGACATACCTGAAGTTACACTTGGCTTGGCTTGGTAGGAGAGAGAAATGATGTTTTCTGCCACCAATTCTCTTTACTTGGGGTAGGGGAAGTCTGTGCTTAAGGGTTTGGGGTGTTAAAAGGTTCAAGGAGGTGGGAGATGGGTGAGTACCACACCAAAGCCTGGTGGTGTTGTCTAGAGCTCCCTAGCCATGTTCTCCAGACAAAGCCCAATGACCTTAGAGCCTCAAATGCAAAAGAAAAACCCAACGTTAAACCAGGAGTAGGTAAGTTGCAAGGACAACCTGCAGCTCAGCAGGGCAGTGAAATGGCTGCTTACCTTGCCAGGGCGAGAGCTCAAATAGCTCCAGACGTCTGTGCAGCTCTGGGACCCCCAAGGAGATGAGTTTGGCCAATGAGACCAATGCTTTGAGCCCATCTGCAGAAGGATCAGTGACCTCCATGGGGGTTTTTACCCTCCCAGCTCAGGATTCCCCTCCATAGGATCCAAAGTGATGTGGAGTGGTGGCCTCTGGTCCCTGGGCTTGCTCCTTGCTGGCTCCTGGAGCCTCTTTGAGGGGGAGACTCTGAGGCTCAGGGGCTTCCTGCTGCCCCAACCTGGAGGTAAAAGGGGGCTGTGGGGCTTTGTGCCTGGACGTACACACAGAGGGATCACAACCGGTATTTATCACACCACCTTTTATTCCTGAAGCCGTTATCACTACTAGCAGATCTCTGGAGGAGAGGAGAATGTCAGATGGGAGATGAAACAGCCCTTGGGCTCGTTGTATCAAATGTCTTGGTGTGGGGAGAGTTTGGAGCAGTGAGAAAAAAACATAAGTCCTTTTTGTTGTTGTGTTTGGGCAGGGTGAGAGCAGGAGATGCCCTGGCCTAATTTGGCTGGGTGGAACGGAGGGTGTTTTCCTCTCTCCTCTGGCAGGAGGAACCTTACCCAGAGTTGGTGTTGCTGATGGTGGCCACGCTTGGTCCCTAGCCTTCCCTTCATACCCATCGATAGACAGATCTTTCTTCCCTCTGCCGTATGTGCCAGAGTCATGCTTGACTTCCAGTCTCCGGAGAAGACCTCCTGGTTGATCTGGCAACACTGGGCTTTGTCAGCGATGGCGTGGGAGCTGGAGCTGCTCATGCACAGAGCTTGTGCACCCCATGGCTGTGGTGAAGCCGCCGATGCGTGATGACGTTAGAGCTTTGGCTGAAGCTCTTCCCACACTCGGGGCAGCAGTAGGGCCTCTCCCCAGTGTGTACCCGCCAGTGCTTGGTGAGGGATGAGTTGACGTTGAAGCCTTTCCCGCAATCCCCGCAGACATAGGGTTGCTCGCTGGTGTGGACCCGCTGGTGGGTGGTGAGGTGAGCCCGTTGGCTGTACTGTCACCCGCACTCCCCGCATTGAAATGGCTTTTTCCCGGTGTACACACGTCGATGCCGCACCAGGCTGGAGACCACCGCGAAGATCTTGCCGCATACACTGCAGAGGAAGGGGGTCTCCCCGGTGTGGCTGCGTTGGTGGGTGAGGAGGTAGGAGCTGGTGGTGAAGCCCTTGCCGCATTCGGAGCACTTGTAGTGTTTCTCCGGACGGCTGGCATTGCGGTGCCGGATGAGGTGGGGTGGGTCGCTGAAACCCTTGCTGCAGTCGGCACAGCTGTAAGGTCGCTCGGTGCTATGCGTCTGTTGGTTGGTGATGAGCTTGGAGCTGATGGTGAAGCCCTTGCCGCAGTCGGCACAGGTGTAGGGCTGCTCACTGCTGTGCAGCCGCTGGTGGGTGATGAGGTTGGAGCTGCCACTGAAACGCTTCCCACAGTTGGGACACTCGTAGGCTTCTCCCCGGTGTGGGTGCAGTGATGCTTGATGAGATCGGAGCTGACATCGAAGCTTTTCTCGCAGTCCTGGTATGGGTATGGGCACTCACTCGTGTGCAACTGGCGGTGGGTCACCAGGTGGGAACGTTGACTGCAACACCAGCCGCAGTTGGGGCACTTGTAGGGCTTCTCCCTGGTGTGGCTCCATCGGTGACGCACCAGGTTGGACACCACATTGAAGCTCTTGCCACAATCGGTGCACTGGTAGGGCTTCTCACCCGTATGGATGCGACGGTGAGTCACCAGCGCCGAGCTGTGCCCAAAACCCTTCCCGCAGTCAGGGCACTTGTAGGGCTTGCCCCCACTGTGGCTTTGCTGGTGACGGAGCAAGTTAGAGAATCATAGAATCATAGAATCATAGA